TCTTGTCACACTCTTCTCCTGCAGTACGACAGCACTACTCCAATAAACCTCACTCATGTGTGCAGATTCTGCCCAATCAGATGATGCCTAACAGCCAGGCTCTTTCTGATTGCCCAGAGTTAACTGCATGGCGTTTATCAGTCAAAATACTACAGACAAAATGTAATTTAATATGTTGTTACTATGTTCAAACTGCAATATCCCATTCTTTCACAATGCATGTGCATGTTGATATCCGGATGACGTTAAAAAATAAATAAAAAATAAATACGAAAAACAATATAATGTGCGGTCCTGTGCAAAACACAGGCCCGAACTAATAAAATTATGATTTAAAAAAGGAAATATTACCACAAAGAAGAAGTGACAACACTAAGAATCTGACTAGACCTTCAATGCTAACCTTCCGTACGCATCAATCGCGCCAAAGAGACATTTCACAGGATCTAAAAAAAGCATAGAAGTTTGACAACCTGCTCAGGATAGCTGTTTGTTCTTTTAAACATTAAATAGCCGACTAATTTATAGTCAAACAATGACTCTAAGTAATTTTTTAGGGAAAAACATTTATGGTTCCAGCTTCTTAAATGTGAAATTTTTCTGGTTTCTTCACTCATCTATGACAGTAAACTGAATATCTTTGGGTTGTGGACAAAACAAGACATTTGAGGACGTTATCTTGGGAACGTCCCACTGGTAGCAGGCCCGGGGCCGACCTAGAACATGCTAGAGGGATTACATATCTCATCTGGCCCTGGGAAGGCCTTGGGATCCCCAAGGAGGAGCTGGAAAGCCCGCGACCTGGCTTCAGATAAGCAACTGAAAATGGATGGATGGATGGATGGATGGATGGATCTTGGCCTTTGGGAAAAGGTGATCGACCATTTTCCATTTTTTACCATTCCATAGACCAAACAACTGATGGATTAATCAAGAAAACAACTGACAAATTAATCGACAGTGAAAATAGTCATCAGTTGCAACCCTAATCTGCAGTAGTGATTTTGACCCACTTATGGAAGCTTGGGGTTGTACTATAGCTAGAAGTTACAGATTCAGCTACTTGGCTTGTCTTGAACCAGATTCCATTGAGTGCTTAAGTAAGAAACATGGCTACAGGAAGTCCTTTCCATAAGTTTCTTGCTCGAAACATGTCCGCCTTCACCTTCAGACTATTTAATCTATTGTCTTAAATACCCAATGTACAAACTGGAAGTTGCACTTTTAGTCACAGTGGGTTACTGCTAATCACAGCCCTGGCTAGCATGATTTTATAAGACGACAAAGTGCACCTGAAACCCTCTGTGAGATGTTGAAAACCGAAAGCGAAAGATGTCAACATGGTTGAGAGCGCCGTTTCATATCAGAATGAGACAGACATCCTCATCAGGTTCCTCATAACGCCGGCACGAAATTTACTGAGTTATTCAAGCTGAGCTGTGATATTTATACATCTGTCGAACTGAAACAGGCCGGTGAGAGTCTGTGGCTGAGTTGGGGGGTGAGTGAGCAGAACAGATGCATCTAAATGTCGCTTAACATTCAACCTTACGATAACAAAAAAAAAAGAAAACCTTGATTCAGTCCAGAAATATATATGATCAGATACTGTCAGCTCATAAAAAGATCAGACTTACAGTCTACTGTGTGCTGACATCTTGTCTACTGCACAGACATGAACTCTCTATTCAAATTTGTGAAACTTACAGATGCTATCTCACAGAACCACACAATAAATCCCAGGCCAGTAGAGCCAGAAACATTTAACAACTTCATACAATAACTTCTCTTTTTTAAAAGACTAAAATAGAAATCCTGGTTCTGACGAGTTTTTCTGCCTGAGCTGGCATGACACTCATTGGTGTGCTCTAGTCAAAACAACAGTGTGCTCATGACTTGGCAAAATGTCCCAGGATCTCTCATAATGGGACATCTGATTAACTCACAGCTCATTAGCGAGAATAAATTACGTCTCCTCAGATCCAAAAACGTGGTGCAAGCTGAACAAGGGACATAATTAATCACTGATCCAACATCAGTTAATCACATTTATCTGGTCATTGTCACACAATTTAAAGATTTGTAAAGCTGCGTAAATAATTCTGACAACCCTATGAGTGTAAAGTAAGTTGCCTATTTCTATACTTCTGTCCTTTGACAATACAATGGTTTGATATTAGCTGTACCATTTCTTTTAAAACAGAGGAAACTTAAAGGGGTAGTTTGGATTTTTGAAGTGGGGTTGTATGAGGTACTTATCCACAGTCAGTGTATTACATACTGCTGGTGATCAGCACGCCCCTAGTTTAGAGACAGGAAGTGGAATATCTGAATATCAGTTTAAGTTGATTTTATATTGAGAATGCTTTTATTGCTTTACCTCGTCGGACAGCCCTTTCCGTTGGCATTACATTCTCTCAGCCGTAGAACTTATTACTATCTCCTTTACAAACTGCTGAAAGTCTGACCCTAACAGCTGATCTGCGGTATACAGTGCACAGCTATGCGGCACTGATGCGTAGGAGTGCATAAGTTCTACGGTTGAATAAATATAATGTCAAAGGAAAGGGGCTGTCTGACAGCAAGGTGAAGTAGTAAAAATATTCTCAATCTGGCGTACACTTAAATTGATATCATACTCCAAACTGAGGGCATGCTGAAAGCCATCTACCGTACTTAATACACAGACTATGGATAAGTACTAGGGATGTATGATATAAACTAAGCACAAAAAGTAAGGAAATTTGTGTTTGGTAGATTATGTCTTTGTTGTAACAATGCTTCTTGGCAATAAATCTTATACTGTTGGAAAGCCTGTTTATTTCCCTTTTAAATGGTGCCACATTTGTGAGGAACATGCATTTGTGAGATGAGCAGCAGAGCTGAGTGTGTGGGTTGCGCATGTAAAATTTGCCAAATCTTCTCTGCCAATGCCACACAGCTTTTTTTTTTTGCTGTTGCTATTGAGCTTCTGGTACCCGCAGGTGCTGACAATCAGGTGCCAATCAGCACCTGTGAGTACAGGCCCTGCTACAGTGGTCAGTTGGTGTCGATAAATTCGCAATTCATTATCAGGCCGATAAATTATAGGGCGATAATGGGACATTTTTATTTTTATTATTATGCATTATTCCGATAATTAAAATTATAGCCGATAAATATTCCAACAACACAAAGCCAGACTGCTTCACTGACTTAACATGGGCAGCATCTACACACCCGACATAGTGGGTGGCGGTACATGTACCTTTGAACTTGGTGTGTGAGTGGCCAATAAACACACAAGAAGAACAACAACTGCAGCATACGAGGGCAATACAAGCTGTGGTGTGGACATTGTTCACAGTTCTAGAGGAAGACAACAGGATTGCGCCAAGAGTCTGATCTTTGATTGCAGCTGTCGAACAGGTTAGACACAGCACTGAAGAACCCTCTCCAGAGTGTTAGCATGAGCCGATTAGCAGCAGCGGCTAACATCCAACACAAGGCTTTTAAAAGCTCTGTTGTTAAACGTATTAATAAGCGCTGGCCAAGTGATGCTAGAGATAACGATTGTTTGTATCGTTACCTGGCAACCCAGTCTGGAGCATGTCCCTCTCTCTGGCTGTGTGTATGTGAGATACAGCTGCTTGTTTGTCTGAGTTGAGTGTTAATGTGTGAGGTAAATCAATGTGAAATTATCGGATATTGCATCGGTTGAAAGAATCCATATCGGTGCATCCCTATTAATATATCATATCACCCCAGAAAAAATCTGAACTATCCCCTTAAGGAGTTTCTGTGTAAATTATAATAACAGTTATGTTTTTCAACCAGCTAGTTAATTCATATTTTAACATTAAATCCATGGCACTCGATATGTATTGCCCTGGAATGGTGCTAGGCAAAGTAATGACGATTTTATTGTCCATTACCTTTAAAAATCCTATCACAAGATTAGGCTGTAACAGTCAGAGTAATAATTTGAACAGCAGGATGGCAAAAATAATAATAACAACCTCAACACTATGAAAATTATGAGCATAATAAAAGTGACTTAAATTATTATTTGTTCTCTGAGGTATTCTGAGGCTCCCGACAGTAGAGCCAAACCCTGTTGTTACTGTCAGGTAAAAGAGCTTACAGTGGTTCACTGCCACTTCTCTGAATAGACAGTTTGTTAGTCTGTCTCGTTCCAGTCCTGGAAAATTATAAACCACAATATTCTGTTACTGCCCGCCCACTGTGGGTAAATGGGGTGAACTAACAGGACACAGTGTGCCAGGGTTTATTGACTCCAATCATACCAGCTACACTACGGCTCTCGGTACCAAATGACATTCAAAAAGAGTTAAGAGTTTCTACTGATGGCTGCCTCAGGCTTTTACACACTGAATGGAAGCATTACACTGTAAATTAAATTTCTATGAGGATTTACTTTTCCTAAAAGAAGTACAATTTCTTACATCTCAGCTAAAAGTCTCTATTACAGTATGTTGCATCAGCCCATCTACAGTACGCCAATCACATGTAATGAGTATCTAAAAGAGACACACACACGCTGTTACAGTATGTTATGTGCAGAGAAGCATTCAAATTACATTATCCACTACAAATCTGACAATGCAATGATGTAACACAGAGGGGCTGACTTTGAGACGAGCCGAAGCTGGAGCCTTGCTAATTCCACACACAGACACATCCACACACATAACATGATGATGTTGTTGTTACATTATGTACTGAGAGCGCCTGTTTAAGCAACATAATCCAGTGCAAACATGACGCTGTTATAGATCGGAGGCTGCAACGTTTCTGCTAATGCACTCAGACCTCAGACACGGGGGCGCACACACACACGCTTACGCACGCACAGTGTAATTTAGATGAGTGATTCACTGAGTACAAATAGTGTTTGACAATTCTCCCGCTGACACCCGTTTACATGTACCCTGCAAATGATGGAGCGGGATAAAAGAAAGGCCCACACACTGTAGTTCCTGAGCCCACGTCACACTCACCAGCTTCTGGAACAAATGTCCCACGGTGACCTTCTCGTCCCACTGCTGGATGTTGGGTAAGAGGGCGTCGTAGAACTCCTTGTGGATCTCAAAAATGTCCTGGATTTTGTAAAAGATGGTCTCTACCTGCTGGATGGTCAGGACGGGCTGCGAGGTTGTGGCCGTGGCTTTTAGGGGACGCATTGGCTGGATGATCAGAGACAGAGAGAACGGACAGAGTCAGTGAACACAACCAAGGACCAGTACATATATGAAGAAGTGGAAACTGAGGCATCACACCTAAACTCAGTTAATGTTTCTTCTTGTTAATATCATAAACTTTATAACAGTATGGTATAATTGTTTTCCAATATACATATCATGTTTGTTTCAACTGTGGCTTAAAGTTCTGAAAAAATGGGTTGAAGTCGTGTCTATTTTAAAAGCAGGCTTTGACAGCAAGTATAATTTTGAGGCAGTTAATTGGCACTTAATCAGCGGCCTAATTGGGCCACTGCCTGAAAATAAAATCAGTTTCTGATCTTGCTATGCGTCACCCAGTGATAAGCGTGTAATCTTAGCCTCTCTGCTCTGCAATTGGGTGACTTTCTTCCCTGCAGTGCAGTCTCTGACCACTCAGATTGTACGCCTACTCAGCTAATCATAGATATGTGCGGAGAGAGGACATGGCAGGGGGGAGACCCTGAATTACAGTGAAAACAAAAACGCTCTCACGTCATGGAAGCCAAAATTCTCTCAGGCTGATGATGACTCAGTCCTGCGCTGATAACAGTGGTTGTATGGAGGCAGAACACAAAGCTCAAAAGCCCTCATCAGGTCTGACAACAGTGTTACGACAGATCTCCATCTACATTACAGAACAGCGTCATGTGACTATGGAGGCTGCACAAATACAACTAGTCACACATTTATAGAGTATTTTGTGTGTGGTATCATTGATGTAGAACAAAATAGAAAGCTTTTATTGTCACTGTGCGGTATACAATGAAATTAGAAGTGCTGCTCCTGGTCAGTGCAATAAAAGACACAGGAAGACACTGCAAACACAAAATCAACTTCAGCAAACAAACATCCACAAATGACAGGTAAAAATACATGACTATACAGTAAGTCTGCACTAGAATAGAAGTATGTATTGCACTAAATTAAACGCAATTATTGCACCATAATGAATGTAATTATTGCACATGAACCATTAGGTCTGCTCTCAAAAGACAGACATCACAATGTGTGTAAGGGGTCATTCAATACTTTCTGGAGTTAAGTGGAGTTTTGGCCCAGGGAAAGAAACTGTATACTGATACTGTAAGTGAAAGCAGGAGCACCTGAACAAACTGATACTCAGCATGTCTTCAAACCTTGTAGCCCATAGTCATATCACTGTCATCTGATCTATTGTTCACAGCAGCGTATTGATGAAAAAGCTCAGTATCAGGTACTAACATGAAAAAAAAAATCCTGTTTTTCATGTTTTTTCAAAATATTGTTATAACAAGATGTGTTCAAGTTACAAAAAGAAACTTTTATTTTTATTTTTGCATGCATTTATTCACCGAACTGATCTTCTGAACAATTCTCAGTTAAAGCTTTATTAAAGTTTCTGGATGCGTCTCTCCCTGCTGATTCTGACAGAAAATTGTAAAAATCCTTCTTAGTGTGGGTCTACAGTGCGCATACATATCACAGTATCATCCACCGTGCTCAGTAACAGCAAAATTTTGCCATGTCTCAACCCGAGCATGAAGCAGTACTTAATCATGTTGTACAGATGGGCCATAGCCCTTCTCCAACACTGTTTCTTCATCCAAAAATAAGTTTCACATGATGACAATATGTTAAGTATCTTGTAAAAATGTGAAAAACATCTTGTCATAACAAGACACTTTTCATGTTACCTGATACTGATCAGTTTTCTTTGCTGGCGTGACATCAACACGCTGCTGTAGTAGCTGACCAGACAAGTTTCACACACGATTAGTTGTGTCAATACATGATGAGCCAGGAGGACAGGAAATAAGAGGAGAGGGCCTTTCTGTAGCCTGTAATGTTTTTGCTGATATCTCATCTTAAAAGTTTTGTTCCCAGAAAGAAACTTTTCAAGTGATGTTGAGTTTAGTATAGTCTTGTTTCGTCAGTGTCTGCGTCTCGTGAATCACCTGCTACATCTACAATTACCCCTTTAATTTGGGGTGTTTGGCAGGTGAGAGGAATTCAATTTCTCCCCTGTCTCTTTGAAGCACAGTGAGGCAGTTTGTCAGGAGTTTTTTTGTCTGAACCAACAAGCTGAATACAATGGACTTGTCCATTGCCTTTTTCAGGTGTTAACACCTGCTGCTATGCCAATAGATCCAAGTATAATCAACTGCTGGTGACAGATATAGTCAACATTCTCCCTAGATTATGTCAAATTCACCACCATAATCTGTAACACCGAGAGCTGACACAGAGGGTTACCAAAACACAATCAAACACATGACCTACTTTTGTTTACAAGTCCTGGTCTGCCTTTAATTTCATAACCTACCAAACATAAAAAAATGCAAGAAAGCAAAAACTAAAGTCTAAATACACTCTGTGTTTCTCTCAATGACAGAGGAAGTGGAGGTGGACAGGAACTAACTCGTCATTGTGCGAGTTGTACAATGACTTGTTGTGTCGTCACTGAGGGCTCAAAGAGAAGGAACTGAGAGACAGACCAGATTTCTGCTAGCATTGCTGCAATCTTTTGTTTACCACACTTCTGACGATGTCTTTTTTTTCTTTGTTTTACTATAACTGTTGTGTGACTGTCCATGTTCAATTCTACAGTTTGTTGTTTAACTGACAACGTGTTGATCAAAGTGAAGCATGTGGCCAAGAGCGCCAGGATATGATGTAATGGCTTAGCATGGGGAAGCATGTTCAGTAAGTGTTGCAGGAGGCTGCTGTGACTGTGGTCAGTGTGACCATTAACCACTGACAGTTCACACAGGCCTGCACCAGCTCACACGGCAGCAGCACTGCAACATGCATGCTGCTGCCAGAGTCTTAAAGGGACATTTCACCCCAAAATCATAAATACATATTTTTCCTCTTAGCCGTTGTATCATATATACATAGATCATACATAGATCAGCCTAGTGTTGGAGATATCAGCCGTAGAGATGTCTGCCTTCTCTCCAATATAATGCAACTAGGTGGCACTCAACTTATGGAAAAGCATAAAGAAAAAAATTGAAAAACTCAACAGCAATGTCTCTTTCCAGATATCATGACCCAGTTACTCAAGGTAATCCACAGGCCTTGTTGTGAGCAGTTCCACATGGGAACTACTTTCTTTGACTGAACCACAGCCGCAAACCGTAAACATTAATGGCGTCCTCCTCGGCTGAGCTGCAACCTTAGCTAGCTCAGTGGTGCTAGCTGACCTAGCAGTAGATGTATGCTTCCATCTGCATTGTGATACAATTGGCAGGTGTGGTTGAGCAGGAAGTAGGGATGCACGGATTGTGAAATTCTGGACCAACACTGATACCAATGTTTAAAATAACAATTTGGCCAATAGCTGATACTAATGTTTGGCTGTTGCTTATATATTGCAGTTATATATTGCAGTGAAAACATCAACAAAGTCGTCCTTTCAACAACTGTATTTATTATAGTATTTCGCCGAAAACTCAATTTTACAAGATAACATTTGAACACCTCATAAGAACATGATAATTTACCTTCACCCAATACTTATTTTTTACTGAAGAGAGCTTGAACATGTCAAAATTTAATTCAGTGCAACCAGTTCCTGCTACCGATTGCTAACAGCTAACAGCTAATGTTAACTAGCTCTCCTCCTGCTGATATTAAAGGGAAATTTCGGTTTATTTCAACCCATCTCCTATCGTCCTAAATTTGTTTCAAGTGACTAGTGACATAGAAATAATAGTTAGCATGTTAGCCGTTAGCCTAGATACAGCCGTAGCATTAGACCTGTTAAAATGTAAGTGAAAGGGCATACTTCAAGTGCAAAGTTAGTCCACTAAACAAGCTTTTTCTCCACAAAGACCGCCTCATATCATTAGGATAAATGTCAGAGAACATTTAGAAAACGACATGTAAATGTGTTGTCTTACCTTACCGGTGTGCTGCCATGTTTGTTTACCATTTAGCTAAGGCTGCAACCAGTCCCATTCCTTGCAATAGAGGCATTCCTCTTCTGTGGGCACTGGGGCACAGCATTCACAGGTACACCACCAATCTCCAGAGCTACGCAGCCTTGCAGCAGCCATTCCTCCTCTCTCATCCTCTACCTGTTGTGCCTCTCTCTCTCTCTCTCTCTCTCTCTCTCTCTCTCCTCCTGCGTTCTTCACTTTCACAAAGCTCTTCGTCAGTGTATTCTGGCTCAAATAAATAAGGGCGGCCATAAAACTCTGCAAAATGAAATTCCTCCTCCACAAAGTCAAAGTCTGGCAAAAAGTCAGCCATTATTCTATAAATCTTTCATAAAATAAATGAATGAACTTTTCAGGCTACTGTCCGGTTCTGCCTTGCGGCTGTTGCTGCTTGTTCTCGCAATATTTCAGCCACGCTTCGGTAAGCAGAGGTAAATGGTAAACACACCGTAAGGTAAGACAACAACTCTGAAGACCACCTAAATGTGGAATGTTAGTATATAGGCTTTCCACATTGATAGTCAATGGCCGCCCTTATTCATTTGAGCCAGAATACACTGACGAAGAGCTTCATGAAATTGCAGAACGGAGGAGGAGAGAGAGAGAGAGAGAGAGGCACAACAGGTAGAGGACAACAGAGGAGGAATGGCTGCTGGAAGGCTGCGTAGCTCTGGAGAT